AGCTGTGGATCAACAATTCCATCATGCACATTTTGCAGCAACCAGTTGCAAAAATGAATTCTTGCTGCATAATCTGGTTGTTTCAGCTCATGCACAACTGTTATTTTATACGGGCTAGATCTGATTAATTTTGTGGCTGTGAAAGCAGATTCTAGCAAAACACAAGTTTTCTGTGCTAAGTGTCTCAATGATTTTCGAAGACTGGTCTGTAGTTGTGGCACAGTATCCAGAACTTTTTCTTTGGTCAGCACAATCCTCTTCAATTGCTTCTTTATGTCACACACTGAACCTGTGGTCTGCCACTTTTTCAGAAGCTTGAATACACACAACTTTGTTGGAACTGGCGCATCAGGATATTTATGATGAAACTTACTGATAAATTTACTGTAATTTTTTTTCCTTGGAAAAATTTTGACAATAAAGAGACACTGTTCAGTAGTGGATTTCATTTCAGTATAAATGTCAACTGCCTGTTGAAATCTCTGACACAGACTGACTATTAATGAGACTTAACTGCAGTGACAAGATCACACCACCTGACCATGACTCATTCTGCCATCGTCAATTACAGCAGAAATCTGTGAGGAGCGTTGTTCCCGCAAAGCGGTGTTGTGAAGTATCCTCCTTCATTGAACGCAGTGCATTATATACTGTTCCTAATACCAGAATTTATTGTTCAAGTGGCAAAGTTGGTTCAGTTTACCTAGTATACGTAATGCATTTTTAAAATTTTGACCATTAACATCAATGTGATTTGCAATTTGTGTGAGGACGTGGCAGGCAATAACATCCATTATGTGACTGAGCCTATCACCTTGTGTATTCATTTTTCTTCTGTACACTTTACTCTTCATCCAACCCCATAAACAAAAATCTAACGGTATTAGGTCTGGATATCTTGATGGCCAGTTAATGGTACTGTCACAACTGATCCACCGATTAAGGACAGTGTCTTCGAGATGTTGCATCACAAGTCTGGTATAATGAGAAGAGTCGCCATGATTAAATTATAGAATAATAAGTGTTAACACCGCCCAGTGTTGTTCAATTTATAGGTATTTATTGCTTTTCTTTGTTTTGGTCAGCTGACCATTTTCAGAAGGCATAACCTCAATATTTTCAGGAACTACTATTACAAAGTTCATAATACATACTTAGAAGTTTTTATATAAGTTATTTTAATTATTTGATTAAAATCTTATTAATGTTTAATATCTATGATCTTGAACTGATATGGTTTGTGTCCTTGTGCCTTTTTTCTGTTAAAAACGCAATATTGTGATTTTATTCGTAGTCCTCAGGGGTCCTCTCAGTGATCCCCCACTCCTCTTCTTTTTTAGTTTGTTATGGCTCTCTGTCATTTTGATGTCTGCTTGTTTCAGTTTTCGCAGAATATTGACCTCTCCTCCTGGCACACTCTGTATATGCATGGATGTATATTTGAGGGACCTTATGTGAAAACTTTTATAAATCCCTTTCCACATATTAAACTTAAATCTTTATCAACTAAGGAAGTTGAAAATATAATTAAATCTCTCAAAGCAAAAAACTCTTATGAATATGATGAAATATCTACTAAAGTATTAACAATGAGTTCCCTTTTCATTAGCTCTCCTTTGACTTGCATATGCAACAATTCATTATCACAAGGAATTATCCCAGATTGTTTACAATACTCAGAAATAAGACCGCTGTTTAAAAAGGGTGAAAAAACAAATATTTCGAACTATAGGCCTATATCACTTTTAACTTCGTTCTCTAAGGTATTAGAAAAAGCTATGAGCATTCAATTGATTGAGCACTTAAATAACAATAACATTTTAGCGGAAGAACAATTTGGTTTTAGAACAAAATCTTCAACAGATGAGGCTATATACAAGTTAGTGAATGAAATTTGTAAGACCTTAAACAGCAAAAACTTAATAGGAGGCATTTTTTGTGACCTAGAAAAGGCCTTCAGTTGTGTTAATCATGAGGTTCTGTTGTCGAAATTGGAGTTCTATGGGATAAAGGGTAAAGCTAAACTATGTCTTGAATCTTATTTCAGAAATAGATATCAAAGGGTTATAATTGCAAATATAAATCTTAATCTCAATGAATTTTTGACATGGGGCAAAATTAGACATGGTGTTCTGCAAGGTTCAATTCTGGGTCCATTGTTATTTCTCATTTATATTGTAACGTGTTTTGAGTTCAAATCCTGTCGGTCACGTGTGTAAGTCCAATCCCACTTCTGACACCAGTGTAACGTGTTTAGCCACTGAGGACGCCATTCGGATTGTTAACTGGTTTATTTAACAACCTACAAGTATTGGCTACAATTAATTACAACACTGTTGCAGGGTTTCACACTTTATAACCCTATTCACAATAATCTCTTCACACTGTTGCCAGGTTTCACACTTTATAACCCTAATCACTATAATCTCTTCACTCTGCAGGGTTTCACACTGTATAACCCTATTTGCAATAATCTGTTCACTCTATCTTCAGTAGTCTACACGTTTCACAGTACGGGAGCTATACAAGTCTTTCTGTATTACACACTCCAAATTACACAATTTCACATGTGTCCGGTTCTTCTTTCCGTGACTGCTGCTATACTCCAACTGTGTTGCTCCGGCTCACACACTAAGAACTCCTGATCACGCACTAACTGTCTTCGGCGGCTGCTATATTTCACGGTGCCACTCCTTAACACACAATGATTGACTGACTGCTGACTCACTTCCAACTATCTTCAGCGGCTGTGTAGTTCCCTTATATAGTCGCAGTGTTTGCCTGTTTCGTAATGGGTACCGCTGTTGCCTGATGCCGTGTCACAGCTGTGTTGCGTGTCTCATCACAGTAGGAAGCGGTGCCACGTAGCCCGGGTGGGGGGCTATGTCACTGTGGCCAGAGCTGCCACGTCACTGCTGGGGGAGGGAGGGGTTGTCCTCCATTGCACAACATGTCACAATCTAAACGATTTACTCAAAACTATAAATGATAAAACTGTACCTATATTATTTGCAGATGACACTAGTTTGTTAGTTAAAAGTTCAAACTATGATGATCTCTGTGTAAATATAAATAATGCTTTTCATAGTATAAATGCATGATTCAAAGTAAACAAACTTTCTATAAATTTTAACAGAACCCACTACATTCAATTTACAGCTAGAAATAAAAATCCTAAATCTGAAATAAAAATTATATATGATAAAAAACAAATTACAAATATACCCAATATTAAATTTCTTGGAATATTCATTGATGACACAATGAGCTGGAAATACCACACTGAGTATATTAGTTCTAAACTAAGTGCAGTCTGCTACATAATAAGATCGCTTAAACCATACACGTCCATAAATTCCTTAAAAATGGTTTATCATTCTTATTTTAATTCTATTATAAATTATGGTTTACCCTTTTGGGGTAACTCACCCCAAAGTGTAAAAATTTTTAGAATGCAAAAGAATATAATTAGAATTATGTTGGGATGCAGAAGGAGGAATTCGTGCAGGAACTCATTTAGAGAATTAGAAATCTTACCACTGGCATCTCAGTACATACTATCTCTTATGTGCTTTGTGATAAAAAATAGAAACAAATTCATAGTAAATTCAGAGATTCATAGAATAAATACCAGACAGCAAAATAATCTACATCAGCCTCTTGTAAATTTGAGTAAATACCAAAAGGGAGTTTACTGTTTAGGAACAAAGGTCTATAATAATCTGTCACAATATATTAAGGATATATCGAGTGACACTAAGAGTTTTGAGGTACAATTAAAACAATTTTTATATTTACATTCTTTTTATTCTTTACAGGAATATTTTGCTTAAAATCTTTTTAAGGTGCGAGTAGTTGTCTTACTTTACAATTAAAAGAAGACAAGGTTGTCAGTCTGTGTTCTGGTTTTTAGATGCTTATTTTAGATATACACAATTTTTATATTACTGTATACTAGTCTTTATTTCAATTTATTATATAATTAATGTATGTTATACAAAACTCATTAATGACATTATGTTTTAACTATTTAATTTTTAATTAATAGACTTGCATAAAACTGTACAAATTGTATAAGGTTTGCCATTGCTTTTACTACTAAAATTGACTTATTTATTATATTGTACATGTTTATCAGTATTTTATACAAATGTGCATGCTATTGGATGACAACTGTAATCCTTAGTTGTGACTGTAACAAGGACAATCTCCACATCTGCATGAGAATGTACTCTCAACAGGATTTATGGAAGGTGAATAAATGAAATGAAATAAACCACTGTGTATTTACAAGAAATCTTCAGATGTATATATATATATAATGGCTTATTCCACATCCTGTGGTCATTTTTGTCTAACTTTGGATCCATGTAATGTAATGACTATGTGTGTATGTGTGTGTGTGTGTGTGTGTGTGTATGTATGTATGTATGTATGTATGTAGTGACAGTTGTGCAGTAAACTTCAGTTTTACACAGTTAAAATAGAATTGCATCAGAGTTTTAAAAAGTGGATCACTGTGCAAGACATGCCATTGCGATACATGCCTTACTACTTTAAACAATTTTGAATATGTTGTATGTTTAATGAAATACAAGGAAAAATCCTTCTTCCACCTTTATATGCAATATATGCCTCCTGCTGATAGCGCCATCATCTACTAATTTGTTGTTTTGTAACTGCAGTAACTAAACAAGTATGTGAAATTATGAATAATTCATGTAGAAAATGTTGTTTTCTTGGAATCTAACAAATGGAGATGCCACCTAGTTATATATAATAAAAGGAAAGTGGATAGACGCAGAAGGTATGCAGCCCAGAATTGGAGCACAGTGACATAAGAACCCAAAGACACATTAATGGAAAAGTACATGACATTTTGTTCATAACACTGTACTACCAATGAATGATGGAAACTGCTTTAGCTGATAACTATTCTCTTTTACCTGATTTTGAATCACATTACACATCTTATTGAAGAAAGAATTCTCTTATTTCAGGTCGTGCCCACTTGCGTGAAGCACTGCTAAGGCATGAAGAAAGCCAACGAGTACATAGAATGTGCAGAGAGCTCAAGGGTAAGGCGGCACTTGCAGGAGTGCTAAAGAAGTCTCATAGCCGAGCCCTGGAAGCCTATACATCTGCAGAGGAGGAAGATGATTTCCGGGAGCTACTTGACCCTCCACATGTTCTAGGTACCAACATAGTGTTGTTTAATTGTTTCTTGCATCCTGTTGTGTATTTAATCAATATTAGAGTTAATTTTACCGACCACACAACACGTTTTTATTTGTGCATCTTGCATTATTCAAGCATAGCATGTGGACCTGACATGATGCCACTTATTTACCTTGTTGCCAGTTGTAGAGTATCATGCACAGATCCTTTGGAATATCCAGTTTAGTTGTTTTGAGGTTTAATGCCTATTTATTGTGCACTCTGCCATACAAGTTTATACTGTTTCTTTAATCCTTTCTTGTGATGCATGAATGGGAACACAGACACCAACTCACTCTACTACCATATCAGCCAGTCTGGCTAACATACAAATTAGATATGAGGGTAAGTCAATAAGTAAGTTACAAATGGATATAGAACTTAAACAAATAAGAGTACTCTTTTGAAAAAATGCTTTTATTTCTCAACATAATCTCCCTGTACATTGAGGCACTTGTCCCATCATTTCACAAGCCCCAGAAAACCAGCAGCATAAAATTCTTTGGGCTCCTGTCGGAACCATACGGTGACTTCCCTTTCTACGGCTTCATCATTGGGAAAATGTTCAGCCGAAAGATGATGTTTAAGAGGGCCGAACAAATGTAAGTCACCTGGAGCAAGGGTGGGGCTATACAGAGAATGCGTGAGGACTTTCCACTTGAAATTTTGCAGCGTTTCATTTGTCTTGTTGGCAGTATGGGGATGCATGTTGTCATGCAAGAGCAACACGCCTTTGGTGAGGAGTCCTGGTCACTTCCATTGAATGGCCTTACAAAGTTTCCTGAGGATGTTACAGTAGGAGTCGGTATTTACGGCTGAACATTTTCCCGATGATAAAGCTGCTGAAAGGAAAGTTACCACCTGGTTCCGACAGCATCCCAAAGAATTTTATGCTGCTGGTTTTCAGGGGCTTGTGAAACGATGGGACAGGTGCCTCAGTGTACAGGGAGATTATGTCGAGAAATGAAAGCATTTTTCAAATCAGTACTCTTATTTAAGTTCTATATCTATTTGTAACTTACTTATTGACTTACCTACATACTACAACAAATAATCCAAATCTTACATCTAGTTTGGACACAATGGTAAACTTTTTTTTTTAATTTGGTAGCTGTAAGAAAAACAATGAAAGAGTATTATTTTCTGGTGTAATCGTGTAATGCCACATAGTCCATGAGTAAATATGCCACACAGTCCAGCAGATGTCAAGCAACCATTTAGGGGAATTCACTGTTTTCACTTTCAGGGTTGAAAGTCAGTGAACTTTTATATGAGTATGCAGTGTTACCTCTCAGGAGACAATACTCTTCATAATCAGTGCTCCAATAACCTCAAATCCAAATACAGCAAAATCATAAAAAGTTACTACCTCCAAAACTATTTCTTGTGGTTGAGGTAAAATAAATAGGCATATAATGTAATACTGACTAAAATTTGTGAACTGGTATTTAATTAAGAATCATTGATTTAGAAGACATTTTCAAAAAAGGGCATATAATAATGCTTTCATAGAAAGCATATATTATTACAGGTATTACATATTATTTTATACATATATTAATTTTTATACATATTACTTTTGCAAATAGGAGTATGTTTAGGATTTGAGATCCTCCAAATTGTGTTTAGGAAGTCTTCTGGGACATATCACATTCCATTGAAAGTCAACTGATGCTTCAAAGGAACATATTGGCTCCATCTTTAGGGTCGAATAAGCTCAGCAAAACACCAGCAAGAAAGCTTGTGGCAAACAGAATCCCACCTCCTTTCTCGCTGGTATCTTGGTCTGCTTATTCATTCCTGAAAATGAAGGTGAAATGTTCCTCCAAAATATTGGTTCACTTTCAACAAACTACATGGCTTCATATCCCAGAAGACAGTATTCTTGAGGAGTTTGTTTGCTCTTCATTATTTCCCTTATAGCACTGGCTGCTGAAAACACAAAGTGTCACATTTCCAACAGTTAGTGTCACTTGAGAAAGACAATTTCTTACACCAGATTCATTCATCTGTTATTTAATTATTCTTTCCTAAATATATTTTATATAGTGTTCTCTCATTAAAAACAATCACATGGCCAGTTACATAGTGTGAAGTGTATGTTATGTGAAATTGCATACAAGGGGTTGCAGAATTCTGAAAAACAGGGACTACTCTTCAAAAACACACTGTATTATTGAAAACTGAAAAGATAAAACCTTTTTGATATTTTAATGCTCTTTTTGTGTTACACACATGGATTTTGATTCAGTGAGTAAAAATAATGAAATTCACTTATTTGTGACCTTGATCTTTTAAGTCATATTGCCATATGTGAGCTATGACATTCATAAAAGAGAATATGTTCCTCATTGCATTGTGAGTAAAAAATCACACATGGGAATTCTGGTCCCACTACATTCACATTTTTGAAAATCCGAATTTTGATGACAGTTCTGTGACACTTCCTGATAACATCTGATTTTGAATTATTTATCTGTGTACCTTCTTTCACTTGGAACATATTGTTAGCAAAAGAAATGTGCAAGCACATACATATTCATACTCGTACATGTGCTTGCATACATTAGCATTTTACCTTGTAGTTGTATGATACTCTTCCATTCTTACATGGCCTAGCAATTTCACCCTCTCTTGATCCAAACTGGATGGAACTTTCACAGATTTTAAGATTTTACATTCTTTGCACATTTTGGCTATTTGCCTAAGCAATTTGGGCATTTTCTTCATGGAGAATTTACCAAGGTGAAAGTTGTCCCTGTGCTTAACTAATTAAGCAGTACGCCATGAAGGCATATGAGGTATATGTATAGATCCACATATGCTTTTTACCAGGGTACCATTGTCTTTTAATATGTCAGATCTAGGATATACTCTTGGAGAGCTCATTTCCACAACTTGGATCTTGCTGTCTTGAGATCTAATAATGTATTCAATAAAGTTTATATTTTTTCATTTTTATGTAGGGTGAGTTGTTAAATTTTTCAGCATCTACCAAATTCCAGCTGTCACTGACTCCACCAGACTTCTCTCAGTTCCGTGTAGAAGATCTGTTCCGGTCTCTTGGACCTGTAGCCATCTTTTCAGCAAAGCATCATTGGACTGCACCAAGATCTGTTCAGTTACAAAGGCTTGGTGGTGGTGAAGGATTTGGATTCTCAGTTCGTGGTGATGGGCCTGTTATAGTGGCTGGAGTGGATCAAGGAAGCCTTGCTGATGTAGGTTTTCCAACATAATTCACGTATCAGGGAGCAAGAAATGTCCACAAAATTTTGGTTGGAATAACTTAAGAAGGCTTCAGCGTAGGTTGGAGAATAATATTAAAAGATCTTAGAGACCTAAGTGATTATGTGATCTGAACTAAAGTAATTCATGGTAGGGTCTAATGTCAACTTTTTGTGATGGCGATCATAAACTTTTGGGTATCAAAATATGGAATATTCTGATCTGCTGGAAAGCTATTGATTGTAGAAGGAAGACATGTAGCATGGAATTAGTTAATATATGATGACAGTAGAATCAAAGAAACATATATCTAGATTAGCTGAAGTGTCCTTTTGTTACATTTTATGTTTGTTTATATAGGAAGATACTAATTCTCTTAGAAACAGAAGGTTTGACACTATGTAAGGGTTTGTCATTAGATTTGATCTGAGCTACTTTAGTCCAATGATCCACCTTAGTATTGTCCTCCCATCTTTGTCTTTATTATCCAAACTGTAGCATTCAGTTGGGTTTACAACCAAACTCTGCATGTTTCATGCTTCTCTCATCCAAGATATGTGTTCAACCCATCACAGTCTCCTATATTTAACTACTCTAAGATTACAAGTACCAAGGCCCTTGATGTGTAAATTTCTTCACTCTATTTAGTTCATCTCCCTGTATTTCCTTTGACCCTTCATTTTCACATACTTGTAATTTTTGTTCCTCCAAATATGATGATTATAAAAAATGAGGGGCAGAGTGATTATTTCAGATAACTTAATCCCTAGTGCTTTTGAAAACAAGGAAGAAGCAAATTTACATGAATCTCTGTTTTCTGATGTATAGTTTGGAGGAATGAAGGAAGGAGATTTCATAGTAGCAATTGGTGACAAAGATGTTAAGTGGTCACCACATGAAGATGTGGTAAACCTCATAAAAGATGCTGGAGATACACTGAGTCTCAAACTTGTCACACCCATGGACAGAAATTATCTGAAGGTAAGGAATAAGTAACTGTTAATTTATTTGCAACCTTTTAATATGTAAGGTTTCTTGTTATCTGGTAGGCACTAGGTAACAAGGTTATGTTCACAATTCTGCAGTTAAAATAAATGTGATCAGACTTGGTCAGAATGTCACTTCAGCACTAACAAGGGAATGGTCCAGTTTGTTAGGTTGAAACCTCACCTGAAATTTGCTTGTGTTCAGGGCCCATCTATAAATTATTACACATAAAATTTCAGCTGTTGATACATTGTGCAGGATATAAAGAAATCACTAAAAAAATAAATGTGCAACTGAAATCTGCATGTCATTACAGTGCAACATGAGGTGACATGATATTCTCCTGTGGTGACTGGATAGTGAAGTAAGGTATGCAGACTTCTGAGGAGGTAGTTGCTTTATGAGTGTTGTGCATGCACAGACAATACACAACTTAACTTTCTTAATGCTGCTGTAACATAAAATATGTGTATGTTATGCCCTTAAGGTCATAATGGGTGTTTTAATCCCCTTTGGCCCAAAGCGTACTTGGTAAACCTTTGTAACAGAGAGGAAATAATGTAAGGACAGGCTTGCCTAACATCTAGTAAGAGTCAGCAGTAGATTACTGAGGTAGCAGATATGACACAGCAGCTATTAATTAGGGCATTGTGAAATGCTGATATAGGAGGTTGCAGCTGACATATGCCAAGGTCAGGTAAAGAAACACACACAGATTCCACATAGAAATTAGACTGGCAGCCAGAGGCTGTGCTAGCAAATGGTCTATTGAGAAAGCAAGCTTTGTTGGTTGTTGCCAGAATTGTTATTAGCAAAGTCAGGACCAAGGGCCAGGATTCTTCAGCCAGCAGCATGGAACCATCTGGTGCTCTGCTCCTTGCAACAGTAATTGTTTCTGTACTAAGCAAGTAGATTCACCCAGTGTAGACAGATCATCAGACGGTGACTCTGATTAGGGAACCGACCTAGGGCTAGGTTATGAAGAGGTTAGGACTCATATTGGTGAATACAGTAGGTAACAACAATATGTAGTTAGTGTAAATTAATAATAATAATAATAATATATGGCCAAACCCCATGTCTTCAGCTTATTCCAGAACCCCATCCTGAAGAAATATTGGTAATTGATTTGGTGTTAAGACTCCACCTTCTATTCAGTCCTTGAACTCAGACTCTTGAAAAGTACCCTCAGTCCATACTCCCCATTTTGAGAAGTCATTTTGGCTACTGGAGTGGAGAACAGTGATGGTTATAGAAAAAGTAAGGTAGGAGAGGCCACTCAGCTGCAAGATTGGACATAGCTCAGGTGCAGACATTCCTGAGGTAAGTCCATGTCCCTACCCAACTACACGTAGTCAGTGCTATCTTCACAGAGGCAGTGACCGTGGTGTAACAGTGTACAGTAATCATCTTAATTTTATTTTCATGAGCTTTCTGTAAATTCTGTTTGATTCATAATGTAAAAAGTATTGTTATAATATATGTCATATAGCCATATATAATATGTATAACAAATGAAGGGTTATTGCAAATTCAAGTTTTATGTCATGTTAGATAACATTTTGAAATCTTTCTCCCTTGACATCCTATGAGTATAAAACTCTCATTATTAATTATTCTGTAATATTACATAAGTAGTAGTCTAACTCTCTATGTAGTATAAATAAGTGAACACTGCAGGCCATACATGTTTCAATGCACTACATCAGGCATGTCCAACACGTCAATCGCGGGATAATTTTGGGTCGATCTCATAGGCCTATAAGGAAATTATTTGTGAAAAGCATGTAAATTCACTTGTAATATAATATGATTATATTCAGATTTTGAAGGGACCAGTCTGCTTTTACCAGTTCTTACGGTGTCTTCGCTTGCAGCTTTCTTATATTTTTCCTTCTACCCTGAAGATGGAGACGATACGTTCCTCCGAAACATCGGTTAACACCACATATACACGGTGCCAAATCCCAGAAGACTGCTTTCTTCATGTATTAAAGTAGTCTGTACTTACAATATATATGTTGCTTTTACATCAAACATCATGTGTCATGTTAATGTTACCAATATTTTTGCTTAAAGCAAGATACGATAGGAAGGGGTGGTAGATCACTGGCAGTTTTGAAACTAAAAAGTCGATCACAACCTGTTTGAAGTTGGACATGCCTGCACTACAGCAACCACAGTATTCCGTTATGCATATCACAAATCCACACTGGAAAGGAATAAGGGCAGAATATTTCATGCCAGTACAAGGCGCACTGCTACGACACGTGAACTTCATTATATTCAAACTCTGAACATTATTTCTGCACTCTTACACAGTGTATCAGCACCGAAATTTTACATAACAGTTGATTCTGAATGGGTATTCTACATGAGCAAATTTCAGGCGAGATTTTGACCTGACATATTGGGTCATTCCCTTATAAGATTTCTGCCATTTCTTTTCTCATTAAACACAATAACATTGTTAGCCAATCCTGCATTTTGTATTATAGTCTCAAATTAATATGGAAACATTTTAAAACATATAAGGATATTGTGGATTCTGTATTTCAGCATCCTGTTGCAATTATTCAACTTAACGTCCATTATTTATCGTCTGTAAATATTGCAACACTCTTCCATTCGCCACTCAATTTTATTTTAACATTTTATACCTTGACACTACATGTAGGTACAGTGTAGCAGTTTTAACACAGTTTAATAAAATATTTGTAACATATCAAGACACCTGAAGTTGGTCATTTGGGGCTGAAAAACGTAGTGTCGAGGTGTATAATGTTACAATATTATATTTAAGCATCCTGTTGCACTCCATACGATAAATGATATAATGATACAAACTCTGTCTCAAGTGCAAACAATATATTTTGTGCCTTTGATCTTGTTCCCTACACTACATGTTTCGGCCCCGGATGGCCGTCATCAGGTGTATAACACTCACGTCGCTGTCACACTGCACCCAGCTCAAAATTTAACAGACAGTTATCAACGAAGTAGAAGTTGATAATAACAAGGAAAGTGTTTTTAAATGTTAAATTTTGAGCTGGGTGCAGTGTGACAGCGATGTGAGTGTTATACACCTGATGATGGCCGTCTGAGGCCGAAACATGTAGTGTAGGGGAAAAGATCAAAGACACAAAATAT